AGTTTTTTTAAAAATATATTTTATTGATTTTTTACAGAGAGGAAGGGGGAGGGATAGAGAGTTAGAAACATCGATGACAGAGAAGCATCGATCAGCTGCCTCCCGCACACCCCCTACTGGGGATGTGCCTGCAGCCAAGGTACATACCCTTGACCGGAATCGAACCTGGGACCCTTCAGTCTCCAGGTTGACGCTCTATCCAGTGAGCCAAACCGGCTAGGGCGACCTGTACTGTTTTTGATTCATTTGGGATTCTGCAGATGCAGAGGGCCAACTGCATGCACTGATCTATGCCATTTTATAGGGGACTTGAGTATCCTCAGGTTTTGGTATGTGCAGGGGGTCCTGGAATCAATACTGAGGGACAACTTAAATTTTGGGGAAATAAAAATTATCCGTGAATTTTTGACTGCATGGAGTTGGGAGTGTGGGTTGGTATTCAAGGGCCAACTGTGTAACAACTTCAAAACACCAAATATAAATGAATGAATAACAATACTGGGACTAATGCCCATGACAGAGAAAAGCTTATCTGAGTGGCCTCTAGTTTTCATGATATGTATTCATAGATTATCCCAAACTAACCTGTGATGATAAGACATTCATTGTGATCCAGCACCTCAGTAAAGAGCCGTGAAACAATCAACTCGGGGTTGATTAAAAAGCGAATTTCTTCTTGCACAAGTCCAGCACTGGTTACACCACCTCCAACAAAACGGTTTGCAAAATCCACCTATTTGGAAAAATGTGGCATGTTAAATGATGATCTAAAATACCTACATAAATGATACACAAGTATACCACCTCTAATCTCTAATCTTGCTTTCCTTTCCTATATAAATCAACCCCTAGTTAGTAATCTTTTCAGGAAGAATAGGTTGTGGTTGCCTATTCTCATTCTAGTCTAAAATCCATGCCGCACAATGCAGTTAACATCTCTTCGTATTTCTTTAGATCCAACACCTTAGAAGGAACCTAGAAAATGGAGCTTTTAGGCAAAAAACTCAATGTAATTATATGGATTTTCATTTATAAACCTTTTGTGTTCCAAGGACCACAAATCAAGAAAGGCTTTATCTGTAAAGTTCTCTAGATCATTTCCCCACCATTCACTACTCAATTTCCATTTATGTATTTCATAGACTTTAATGTAACTATACCTTTCTTATATAATATGGCAATCAAAAACTTGTTCTTAAAGAACTTTAAAGTTCAGTAATTGACCTTTTGGGGGGTAAACTTTCCTTCTATGGAAGGGGTAGGAACTTTGTCCTTCTAAATTCAGTTGCAAACTCCCAACTACACGAACATTACAAACTATTTTTTAAAAATATACCCAAGGAAATAAATGAAGAGCAAAACCTAGTTTAACAATAAAGATTCAACAAAATATTTCCAATTTAGTTTAAAACTATACATAAGCTTCCTGTGGAATACTAAGATTGGATCCCCAAGCTCCTATTAATGATGATGATTATACAATCCTCAAGAGAAAGCAAACTCAACTTGCCATCATTATTTGTTTGTCTTAGACTTACTAAGCACTCCAAGATGTCACACACGCTAGGAATTATGAGGAAATATGTAAGAAATGGTTTCCAACTTTGCCTTAGATTACTCTATTTGGGGAGTTATATTACACACGTATATACAACTGTGCACACACAACCATACCCATACAAAAAAACCCCAGAGTTCAGTTAAGTAGTGTTAAGAGAGGCTTATATATTGTGTAGGAAAACCACATTCCCTTTAACTTCACACTGCTACCAAACTCACTACACTCTGACACCAAATGTGTGATATTCGACACATCAAGCAATTCTGCGACACCACCTAGGTGTCCTATAATTCAATTCAGTTTTGACACTATCTGCATGGCGTTAGCATCGGATTTCAAAAGCTAAGGGTTCAGTCCCACAAGACTGCCCAACATCAGATGCCAATTGTAAGTCCTAACTTCTAGTTGACTGCTTAACAGGGGTTTCCATGACCCCCTCCTGGGGTTTGATAATTTGCCAGAGGAGCTCACAGAACTCAAGACAATGCTCACTTACATTTACTGGTTTATTACAAGGTTATAATAAAGGACACAGATGAACAGCAAGATGAAGAGATACACAGGGCAAGGTATTTGGGAAGGGGCACAGAATTTCCAGGCAAGTCATTCTTCCCACAAGTCACTCACTCTCCTAATACCTCCACATGTTCACCAACCTGGAAGCTCTCTGAATTCCAGACTTTTGGGATTTTTATGGAAGCTACAGCATGTAGGTGTGGTTGATCATGAACTCAGTCTCTAGTACCATTCCCTTTCCCAGAGGACGAGAGGTCAGGTAGAGAGTTCCAAACTTCTAAGCATGGCTTTGGCTTTCTGGTGACCAGCCCCGTTCCTGAAGCTATTCAGGAGTCCACCAAGAATCACCTCATTACAACAAAAGACACTCACTCCTGTGACACAGAAAATTCCAAGGGATTTAAGTGCTCTGTGTCAAAACCAAAGACCAAATCCTATATAATAAAAGTGTAGTATGCAAATTGTCCCCTCTACCGGGAGTTAGTCTGGGAGTTTGACTAGGGGGTGGGGCCAGCGGAGGGACGGGAGGGAGGCCCTGGCAGCAGCAGGCAGCCAGGGGAAAGGAGGGAGTACCCAGGCAGCAGCCGGCAGCCACTAGGGACCCTACCAGTGCATGAATTTCGTGCACCGGGCCTCTAGTATTAGAATAAAAGATGCTCCTTGTGCTCTCATTATTTACATAGCTACCCAGGTTTTAGGAGCTCCATGCCAAAAGCTGGGGCAGAGACATATATATATCTTTTCAAATATAAGATTTCTTAAAATTTGTTCTCTAAAGCAATTATGACACTAAATGATAATCTGAAACCTATTTTACAAAAGAGTAAAACAAGAATATGAATCTTTTGATATGGGAAAATATGAGAAAAGACAGAAATTAACAGAAGGCAAAGTATTATTTAGTATAGAAGTACTTGGAAAACACTGAAAATTACAATTAGACAAGTTCTTGAAATGAGTTACCACAGAGAATCATATACATTTGGATTTATATTCTGGCGTACTAAATCAGTGCTAAAAAACAGTTACTCTTTAGCTATCATCGAAAAATTAGAGGCCTGGTGCACAGATTCGTGCACACTAAAAGCAAATTGATTAGAAGGTGGCCGGCGGGGTGGGACTGAGCGAGACGAGCCAGACACACCCTGGAGCCAACCTCCCACGGCCCCTCCCTGGCCGGCTGCACCTGTGGCCATCTTCTTCTTCTTTTTAAAAATATTTTATTGATTTTTTTACAGAGAGGAAGAGAGAGGGATAGAGAGTTAGAAACATTGATGAGAGAGAAAATTGACCAGCTGCTTCCTGCACACCTCCTACTGGGGGTGTGCCTGCAACCAAGGTACATGCCCTTGACCAGAATCGAACCTGGTACCTTTCAGTCCGCAGGCCGAGGCTCTCTCCACTGAGCTAAACCAGGTAGGACACTACCTTCTAATTAGTAGCAAGTGCCACCTGTGGCTTGAAGGTAGTCTGCAGAGTGCGCGGGGTCCCTCTGGCAGGTGGGGTCTCTCGGTCTGGTCTGCGGGGATTGGGCCAGAACCAGCAGCCCAACATCCCCTGAGGGGTCCCTGAGTGCAAGAGGGCACTCTGCAAAGTTACTGTTACTCGGCAGCTCCTGCATTGAGCGTCTGCCCCCTGGTGGTCATTGCATGTCATAGCTACCAGTCAGAGTGTCTGCCCCCTGGTGGTCATTGCGCATCATAGCTACCAGTCGGATGGTCAAACAGACCAGCAGTCGCCAACCGGTGGTCCCTGGACTACTGTTGGTCCGTGAGGTCCAAAAGGTTGGTGACTGCTGGTTCAGACAGTCACTTAGGCTTTTATATATATATATATTTAGATAATTTTAGTTAAACTAGTCCATTGATTAGAATTAGTTACCTACTACATAATGAGGTCTTTATGCACTGGTGATTTATGGCTTAAACTGTTCAATTCAACAAATATTGACTGAATCTTGTGCTGGGAATCATAGGATGAAAAGATAAGTAAGTTTCAAAGCATTTACAATCTACCCAGGAGTTAGGCACATAAGCAGAATGACAGAATAATTATTAAGGAACTTATTAGCACTAAATTGATAATGCCTAAATAATCCTTATCTAATAAAAGAGAAAAATGGTAATTGGCGTACGACTGCTACCCTCCCCATTGGCTATTATGCAAATTACCTCCCAGCCAAGATGGCGGCGGGCAGCCAGGCAGCTTAAACTGAACATGAGGCTTGCTTGCTTCAGTGAAGAAGGAACCCAATGTTCCCGCCTGCCTTGCCGGCCTCTGAGCCTGCAGTTTGAACATTGTAACAAATATAGAAGCTGTGAGCCGGGATCTCGGAGCTGGAGTTGATACAGAGTTTCGATTATAGAATCGAAACAAACCAGATACCTACTTTCAGCAGCGGAGGCGTCAGAGCTGGAGCCAAGCCTCAGAGCTAAAGCTGGCCCAGAATAAAAAAAAAGAAAAGAAAAAAGGAGTGGTTGGGAACTCCCGTCCCCCGCCAGCCTGAAAACAGCCCTCAGCCCCTCGCCCAGACTGGCCAGGCACCCCAGTGGGGCCCCCCACCCTGAAGGGTGTGTGACCAGCTGTAAACAGCCATCATCCCCTCTCCCAGGCTGGCCAGGCACCAAAGTGGGAACCCCGCCCTGATCCAGGACACCCTTCAAGGCAAACCAGCCAGCCCCACCCATGCACCAGGCCTCTAGCATATATATAAAAGCCTATGTGACCATTACGATTGAAGAACCAAAATGACCAGTCACTATGATGTGTACTGACCACCAGGAGGCAGACGCTAAATGCAGGAGCTGCCCCCCTGGTGGTCCGTGCGCTCCCATCGCAGGAGCGCCGCTCCGCCAGAAGCCGGGCTCATGGCTGGCAAGCACCGCTGCGGCAGCAGGAAGCCTCTCCCGCCTCTGCGCCCGCACTACCGAGTGGCAGCACGGCAGGCGCAGTGGGGGGGGATGAGTGGCAGCAGAGCTGTGTCCAGCCCCAGCTGGGGCTCCTCCCCAGCCGCCTGCTGCTTTGGCACTGCTACATCCCTCAGGGGGATGTCGGACTGCGGGGTTTTGGCCCGGTTGCAAGAGGGTACAGGCCAGGCTGAGGGACCCCCCTTCCCCCGAGTGCACAAGTTTTTGTGCACCAGGCCTCTAGCATATATATAAAAGCCTATGTGACCATTACGATTGAACAACCAAAATGACCAGTCACTATGATGTGTACTGACCACCAGGGGGCAGACGCTCAATGCAGGAGCTGCCCCCCTGGTGGTCAGTGCGCTCCCATAGCAGGAGCGCCGCTCCGCCAGAAGCCGGGCTCATGGCTGGCAAGCACAGCTGCGGCAGCAGGAAGCCTCTCCCGCCTCTGCGCCAGCACTACCGAGTGGCAGCACGGCAGGCGCAGTGGGGTGGGATGAGTGGCAGCAGAGCTGTGTCCAGCCCCAGCTGGGGCTCCTCCCCAGCCGCCTGCTGCTTTGGCACTGCTACATCCCTCAGGGGGATGTCGGACTGCGGGGTTTTGGCCCGGTTGCAAGAGGGTACAGGCCAGGCTGAGGGACCCCACTGGTGCATGATCCCATGCACCAGGACTCTAGTACAATGAAATAAAATAAGCATGGGAAGGAGAATAGAGAGCATTACAAGAGGACAGGTCATTCAATCTGGATTTTGCTGATTTTCAGGCTGAGGGACGTAGGGGAAGCCAAAAGTAAGGAGCTGTCTGAGGAGAATGGAAGCAGACTCCTCATGCGTGTTTGTAATGTAGCGTATGGGGAGGGTTATAGTGGTGATGAAGTGATCTGGGGCCCAGGAAATTTTTACTTAATTCTGAAGGTTCTAGAAAAGATTCTTAAAAAGAAAAGTAACAATAAAGAACCTGGACTTTAGGAAGATAATTCAGGGTAAAGTTTAAAGAATAAACTGAAAAAGTATAAAATTAAAAGTGGAGGCTGATTAGGTGACTACTGGATAGTTTATACAAGCTATATTAGTTCCTCAAATAGGTCAGTGGAAGGAAACTGAAGGAAAGAGAGATGCAGCAAAGAAATAAAATGGACAGCACTTAAAAATTGAGAGACTAAGTATAATGGTATTATAAATAAAAATAAAAAACAAAGAAGGTTTGAGATTAGCAAAACTTAATTTTTACTGGAACGAGGTAAATAATCAAAATAGAAAGATAAGCTCTACCCAATTTATGTACTACTTGGTAATGATAAATGAAATACATTCCATGTACATGCTATAATAAGAGGCCAACATTTATTACTTGATAGTTATTCACACAAATAAATACACTAAACTCAATATGCCTGAAAGCAGGAGGAGTCTTTTAGAAAATCAAAGTTTCTACTACATAAAAAGTTCCTAATAAAAGGCTACTACAGGTGAGAAACTGGTTCCAGTACATGAAAACAGCATGTGAGTGCTTCTTTATTTTTAGCAAGTCATTTTCCAACTCACTTTAAAGCTACTTGTTCAGATTACGGAGTTTCTGAATTATAACTTGATGAAAAGAGAGAAATGATAACACTCCTTAGAGGTTTTGTTGTTGTTGCCATTCAGCATAATGTAATTAGTATGCTACACAAGAAGCTTTGTGGCACTGCAATACAATATTCCCTGACCTCCTGGGGATACATGGCACGAGGAGGGAGCACAATTAATAGAAGCCTTTATGGTATTCTCTTAATCTACTGAGGTTTCATATTTCTTCTATAATATGTTCCAGGAAAGTGGGGAGAATCTCAACTTTGAATGTTGTTAAGTAATTCCTTGTTGAATT